CGGACGTGCAGGCTCAGCGGCCATGGCTCACGGGCCCAGCCGCTCCGCGGCATGTGGGATCTTCCCGGACCGGGGCACGAACCCCTGTCCCCTGCATCGGCAGGCGGACTCTCAACCACTGTGCCACCAGGGAAGTCCACCTAACATGTCTTTATCCCCTTTGCTTTGTGTTTATTGAGAGCCCTTGATGAATCTCTCTTGAATGAGTGAGTGTCTGAAAAGCAGCCTGCCCTCTCATCACTCCTGAAGCCCAGGCTTTGATAATACAACTCTGTCTACCTGGGTGTGGTTTAAATTGGGTTGTGCTGCTCAGGACTCACGGCATCATTGCAAATGCCACATCTATGCAGTTAGAACAGCTGTGGAATAACAGAAGTTTCTGCTGGGGGAAATTATGACTATAGGGCTCTACAGAGAAAGAACCAACTAAGTGTGGTCCCACGATGACACATCTCATCTCCTCTCGCCGTGGAAACCACTTCCCCATAAACAGCCCCAGTTAAGTGAGCACTTGAACTATTCTTGCAAATACCCTGAGCCCTGTGGTTACCCAAGACCCCTCTTGCACATACAAGTCAACAAGGCACAACTGGGCTTAAAAACTTCCTCTCTCATCACCCCGAGTTTCTATCTCCCAATAGTCCACGACTTAGGTCTTAAGAGTAGGGGACATTAACACACCATTGTAAAGCAATTATACTCCAATAAAGACGTTAAAAAAAAAAAACAGAGTAGGGGACATTGCTTGGACCCCAGAAGGAGGCTGGCAACAGCGAGTTGTTCTGGCCCACACTCTTGAGCCCTTACTGCCCTCCTCACCGGGGCTCTCTGTTCCCAGGCCTCCTCTCACAAGTGTCCTCCTGCTGACATTTGCTGTTGTCCCCCCACTTTCTGGCTCAGATCAGACCACATCACTAAAGCCCTATGTACAGAGGTACCAAGTGAAATACAGGACTTCCCAAGGGGTTTTCAAAAATGCCCTGGGCTATCTGTTCAGGGGGGCTTTTCTTTCCAAAGGAGTTTTAGCTTTCTATTCTATGTACCCAGAAGGCGGGGTGGGGGCTTGTCCTATAGTGGGAGTGGGAAAATTGGGTGGGTTTTCAATAGGAGGCAGAATCCAGCTTCAGGTGGTTCCCAGTGATCAGCTAAGTAGTAAACTCACCTCAGTGTCACCTTATAGGTGATTTACAGAGATAGTCTCTTGCTGGAAAAAATCTCTTCTTAGACCAGGAAAAATCTCTTCTTAGACCAGATTAAGGCTCCCAAATAGAACTGGAACAAGAGACAGACTGTTCAATTAGCTGCATTCTCTGCAGAGGGACATAGAGACTAAACCTAAGATTAGAGCAAAGAGGAAGTGGTCCAAGATGGTGATTTAGGGAGATCCCAAACTCACCTCCTCCCACAGACATGCTGTATCGGTAGCTACTTACCGAACGATTTCCTCTGCAAAAGACCTGAAAACTACCTGATCAGTTACTTCACATCAGCAAACAGAAAAGAGCGACGGTGACTAGCAGGGCAAGATGGCGGAATGGAAAGACCCTGAGCTCACCTTCTCTTACACCAAAATTACAACTATTTACAGAGCGCCTATCAATGAAGAAGACAAGAAGCTACTAAACTAGATCTTCTACTACTAAAGATATAGAGAAAGAACCACAACAAGACAGGAAGAGAGGATTCACGGTACAGTCAAGATCCATACACCCAGGTGGGCAACCCACAAACAGGAGGATAATTACAATTCCAGAGGTTCTCCCCAAGGAGTGAGGGGTCTGAGCCCCACATTGAGCTCCCCAGGCCAGGAGTCCTGGGCCAGGAAGACAAGCTCCTAGAACATTCGTCTTTGAAGGCCAGCTTTTGGGAGTCCCAGAAAACCGTGGGAAATAAAGATTCCACTCTTAAAGGGTGCACACAAAAATCTCACATGCTCTAGGACCCAGGATGGAAATAGTAATTTGATAGGAGCCTGGGTCAGACCTACCTGCTGATCTTGGAGAGCCTCCCAGAGAGGCAAGAGGCAACTGCAGGTCACCCTGGGGACACAGACACCAGCAACAGCCATTTTGGGGAGCTCATTCTACCATGTGGACACTGGTGCTGGCAAGTGCCATGCTGGAATCCTCCCTCCAGCTTATTAGCCTCAGATCCAGCCCCATCCATGCCCACCAGCCCACAGACACCAGTCCTGGGACACCTCAGGCCAAGCTACTAACTGGGCAGGG